TAAAGTATATGTTATGTATTTAATAATTATTATACTTTTGTAATACCAATACATTCTATAGTAATATGACTAATATGTACCTGTTCAATATTACTGTCATCAAATTCTGTATCTAAAACTCGATTTTGGTAACATAAAGTATTTGCGGCTTAGAAAAAAATAATATAATATTACATTGTATAGCCTATTAATCTATGTGAAATGTGAATTTAAAAAAGTTACTTATATAAGTTATAATTATAATTAAATCATTGTAATTTATATTAAATTATTTAACAAAAGTTATTAATTAGTATTTAGTAGGAAATAATTGAATACATTTTAATATTTTTACTTGTACATTTAAATAAAAGTATATAATTATTTACGATGTTGATCAAAAAATAAATTAATTAGCATAAGTAATTTTTTTATGGTATTCTGCATTAAAATTAAAATTCTTATTAAAAAATAACAAAAAATTCTAAAAATTCGATTTGAAAAAGTCAAGCAAAAAATTCTAGTACAATTTTTCGAATAGCGAGTAGGTACATACCACGTATACGATTATATTATATTACCTATAATATGTCATAGATTCATTAGTCACGTAGTGACGTAGGTATTAAATTACTATCAATTTTGTCATATTATTCACCTACCTATTTTCTAACTACAAAGTTGTTTACAATAGTTTACGATTTTGACGAATTTTGTCATGATTTTAACTTTATATACATTTAAAAATAAATTGTGTTTATGTATTTTTAATATTTTTTTTACAGATTTGATAAAAACTTATAAGGAATCTTGAATCAATTTTTTTTTAAATGCTGACAGAGCAAATAATTATTTATCAACATTTAACAAGCCTATAAATAATTTTAAAAAAGAAAAATTTTTTAAAATTATACCATGTATAAAAAATGATAATAAAAATAATTTGTGAAAATTTCAAGCATTTATAGTTATTTTATTTTTAAATTACATCAAAAAACAAAAATTATTCAAGACAAAATAGTTATTAAACAGATGAATACCCAACTACCTATTCTAAAAATTTTAAATTCAAATTGTTATAAAAAATTAATTTTACTTCCAGGTAGATTTTTTTATTAATACTAGTTACAAAAAATAAAGAATCTTTTATTAAATTTCAAGCATTTTTATATTTTTTATTGACATTTATAATAATAATAAAAATACTAAAAAAATTAAAAATCTTTAATTCTTATAAATAGCTCAAAAAAAGTTAAAATATTTGAAAATTATAATATAAACATTTGATGATTATTTTAAATTTCTACGATTATTCGTTTTTGAATTGTAACAAAATAAAGAAATAAATTAAGTTAAAAACTAATTTAGCGTAAAAATTCTAATTTTTCTTAGAATATTTGTTTGTGTTTTTTGGTTATAAAAAAAAATAAAATACTGGAAATTTTTAATTTTTTAAAAAATGCGTTAGTATAAAATAATATTATTCGTGGCCTCATTAAACTTGAAACTTAAACATATATTATTATACTTACAATAATATATTCAAAATATTTAGATTATTGTAATTTTAAAAATTTAAAAAGAGTTGCATATTTATGATTATTTTTATCACGAACCTATATACATCTTTCTACCACAAGTTTGTATATTAACTCAAGTCTTAAAGTTAACTTAAAGTTTATAATACGATGTGGTAATGTGGGATGTGGCTTAATTTAGGACAACATTGAGTCCATGTAACTAACAAGCAGTAAATTTATGGATCGCCACTACAAAAAGGTTGGGAAACACTGTCATAAACCATAGTATTGGGATAACTGATTTTTTTTACATCGAAAATTGGCGTCTACCTATAAAAAAATGTATTATATAGTAACTTATTTTACTATAGGGGTAAAATACAATTGATTGGATTATTTTTTGCCGAAAACATAGAACTTTTATTATTATTGATTATTTTATTAGGTAGTATATATTTATATTATATATTATTATTAACCCAATATTGTTCAGCAAATATTTTTAAAACAGAAATATACGTATTTATTAAAAAACTACTGTGGTAACATAAATGTATAATACACCATTATACATTTAGGATGTATCTGAGCACGTTCGATATAGGTTCAAAAAATTAATAGTATTATTACTATAAACATCACGTACCTACCATAGAACACATTATATACGGGTGGCAGAAGCCAAAAAACCGGATGATGATAGTCTGAAGCGGTTGGCGGGCACGGGCCACTGTCAAAATATTTTATCCGCACACTATTCAAACAATGGTTATAACTTATTACGTACGCGCCATAAATTATCAACGACCGAAGAAATGTATAAAGTTGGTTTATATAATATGTTTTTACTTAGTAACTACAGACACACAAATACGTAAAAATATTTGCCAACTTCCGTTTGAGGCGATTTATTTATATGTATACATATAACTGTCCAATACTTAGGTATATATTAGCTATGTATAATAAAACATGAATGAGTGCGTTAACCCCATGATCATAATTCATAAATCATTAGATTTTAAGTACAAGCAGTGCCATTTATTAAACCTATATTTGTCTCTATTAATATTATATTTTAATTTTTTTAAATACCTATACCTACTGGCTATATTTACAAGTGTCAAGTAATATATATAAAGGTTAGTTATAATTTATATATTATATTATTATATAGGATCTATTACCTAAGTACATGCCTATTTATGAAATTTACTTATTCTATATTTAAGGTATATTTTAATTTTAAATAAATTGCACACCTAATATTCTGCTATATTTGCCTATATATATTAATAATGAATTGACCTGCTTTTTCGTCAATTGGCCCTGATGTATAATGTATTTAGGATTTTGAATACGAAAGGATATGTGTTTATACAGAGCTTACTAACCCGAATGTGCTTTGTTTCCCTTGCCCCAAAGTGTTATTACTGTGATAAGTAATAACTGTAACATTATAAAAACAAAATATATTATTAAATCCATTAGATGCCCGACAGGTTAAGTATTTTTTGCTAAATTAAAACTATTTAGAAATATAAATTATATTTAACCATTACCTAGTTATTTTATTATAATATTTATACCTATAAATTTATTTCATTAATATTAGTGACATAAAATACAACTTGATGTTTTTATACTTAACTTTTCAATGACTTCATCCGATATAATTTTAATATTCCGATGACATAGTAACTAAAATAAGGAAAACCAATTTAGTCTTACTCAGTTACTCATGTGCGCATAAGTTATTGTCGGCTAGTTAAACTATAGTGGCTATTATGAATTATGATTAATAATTAAAAAATAGTCATTATTTTGTTTTCGAGTCTCGTAATTATTACAATTGTCGAAAAGGTAGCCTTAAAAAGGCTGTTTTTTCCGATATAGCCGGAAGATCATAAGACATTTGGCTGTCGGTTTGACGTTTCTTGCTGTTTCGTTTCGTGTTGTTAATTCTGAAATACACTACCTACTCACAGGAGACACCACTATAGAAAGTACAACACCACATTTTTATTATTTACTAACCGACCCGTCACAGCTTTGCCCGTGATTAGTTGTTTATTTTGCCTTCAGACAAATATTTTATTCAAATTTTGTGATCGGCAAGCAAATATAAAAAACGGTTAATGAAAACGTATTGAAATGTTTCTAACGGTATTAATGATGAATATATTTTTATTAAAAATGAATACAGATACAAAAGAAATGCTAATTAATCTGTTGTTGATAAAAAAATTTATAAAATTTCTGAGTATATAAAGTTTTTTGTTCTACCTCCTATTGAAATCAAAATTATTAGTTAAAACTCAAAACTATTATATTAATTTGTAGCTTATAATTTTGGCACTGTAATGACGAATAAAATAAAATTATGAATAATAGATCACTCGTAGGAATATTTGGAACAACTCTGTGAAAAAAAAAAAATGGAAAAATGATAAATAGTGTTGTCACAAAATGGGAACATAAAAAAGGCCTGTTCTTGCGAACCTCGCCAGAGAGGCCCCAAAAATTAGCTTATACCATTAATTATAGAATATACTATATATTGTATATATATAGTATATAATATATATAATATATAATATATATTATAAAATATTCTATAATCAATGCTTATACTATATGATAAAGCTGTAAGCGATTTTTTCATAAAGTAAACTCAATAACTATTGGTTCAATTTTGATCGGATTTTTTTTAATGTGTTCCTTATGATCACAAAAATGTCATAGGCATAAGTTTAGCCCGATAAAGTTAGTAAATAATTAGTTATTTAATATATTTTAAACTTGTAAATTGTGTATCTATATACAGTATAAAAACAAAAAATAAAATAAAATACATACTGTTAATATAGAAACCAATACACATACTTATTTTAAAGCTTTATTATTAATTATTTTTTTGTTTTTTTAATTTTTCAAGAACTATATACTTCTTTTTTTTTAGTTTTATAATTTTTTAAATGGTATCAAAACATTCAAAACCTTCAACAGACTGGAGGTATCACTGTAAATAATTCCAGGCAAATCAGTTTAGTAAACTATAGTTTTCTCGGTTAGCGTGGTCGTAGAAAACCCCTAACAATTGTATATAGCAGTAGAGATTTATCTACTTACAGTTACGTTTTTGTTTTTTTTTTAATACAGTCTTTTTGGCGATTATAGTCATCGTCTCATGATCTCACTTCAATGATATCGAGAACATTTGTCAGGTAATTATAATAATAATCAATATTAATATATTTTTCATTATTAAATATAAATAGGTACAAAGTTTTTCCGAAAATACATGGTATTTATTTGTTAAGATTAGGCCCATATTAAATCTTAAAAGGAGCTGAAGGTTGGAGCGTAGTATGTTAGGTATAAGGAGTAATACCAGGCCCGAATTAATATTATCGTAGGCTCCAATAGCGGCTCGTGAACACTTCCGTGAATCATTATTTCATTTATTCTGTGATAACACTATATCTATAACTCCGTATTCCGCGCCAAAATGAATGACGCCAATGGACATTAGGGTCTGTACACTTTATAAAAATTTTATATTATCTAATATCTATTGTTGTGGTCTGTTGAATGTAGATTCTAATTATGTACATTTTATTTATATTTAATTACATCGTCTAATTTAGTCATGAAGTTTGAAACATCGTCAATGCGAAAAATTTTTATAATCCATTATCCGTATGTTTGATTTTTGTACATACTTGGCTACAAACCATTGATTTTAATGGTTGGCTGTATTTATATAAGTTTATAATAATTATTAACTGTATATTCTATCCAGCAAGTCGAGTATAATACAGACCTATTTTATCGTTATATTGTACCTATATATTGACTTTGAATTTTCTTATTAAAGGTTAATAAAAGTTCATAAATTTACGTTTAATATTTGTTTAATATAATTATTATTATTTTGACTGCATAGGGTTTTTATCATCTATTAATTTACAATATTATCACTGTGAAAATGACATCAAATGAAACAGAAGATGAAAATAGAAGAAATCTCAACTATGATGACTTAGATGTGTATGGTAAACTAGAAGTTAAACTCGCAGCACGTAATAAAATAACGTGTCATAAAGATATCAATCTACCCTGTGCACTTGTTGAAGACACAGATCTTTCTGATATTTTGGATAATATTCCTTCAGTAAGACCCAATAAACATTTGGAGGATAATGCACAAACTGTTAGTTCATTAATCGATAATATTCGCCAAGTGAAACGTACTTCAGGTATAAATATTTGAAATTAAAATTGTTTTATACAATTATAATTAATATAAATACTTATCTACTAATCTTATATTTTTATATAATAGAATTGGAAATGAATTTTACTATCAATGAAGAAAAAGACGAAGATGATGAAATAAGTCAAGCCATTACACAAATTCGCCAGCAGTCTGAAAAACTTATTAAAAGAATTATACATGCTCAAGTTGATTTTAATGAATTTTTAAGTTCAACAGACAGTCCAGAAAACAGAGAGTATTTAAAAGACCATTTAAAAATAATAGAAAAAACTTGTAAATTTGATAGAGGTATAGAATCAGTGATTCGTTGCAACAAAGATACATTAGAAAAACATATTGACAAAAGCTTGAAAATTGAAAATATTGAAGAATTTAAAAAGTAAGTATAATATGTAATTATTTTATAAAGAATTATATTAATCAACATTTTATTTAACTATATTTTTGAAAAATATATGATTATTTAGGATAATTTTAAAAATATAAAATATATTCGATATTATATAATATAATTTTTTTTATATTGTATACAATTTACTGAGAAATTTTGTAGAATATAAAATAATAGATTGTGTTAAAATAAGTGGCTGGGATGTAAGTCTTTTAAAAGTTTGCATGTTATGTTTGTTAAAATACCTCATTTAATATGTATATTACTTAAGTTGAGATAATTATCAGTTAATCGATTTCATTAACTATTTTTTTTTTTTATACTAAATATTTACAATCTATACCAAAACATATTAAACAAATTTGATAAAAAAAATATAAGTACTTACACAAAAATAAAAATAATACATAAGTAGTAGTGAAAGTAGTGATTTTCCTAGAAAAATAACATCTAATAAATCAACCTTATTAACAACAGTAATTAATTATTAAAATTAATTTTTTATAAGAAAAAGAATTTCTAATGGTTTTTTTAAATTCAAACTTATTTATTTGGTTATCAAAGAGTAGTTATTGTGAGACTTGAATTTAATGTATTTCAGCAAGATGTAATTTTGTATGAAAATTTATTTATTTACTAAACTTGTTTTGATCATAAAATAATGCATTTGATATTTTAACAGTTTATAATTTATTATTTACAATAAATTTTATTATATTTTAAATAATATTTCTCAAAATAATTTTTCTTTTCTTTTTATTAAAACAAAATGTATTTTAAATTTATGGGAGTTTATATAAAAAAAAATAAGTTGATTGGACTACTAAATTAATTATCTAATACATAACAGTAAAAAAATTAAAACTCGTTTCTTGATTAAAATTTACTTATTTTAACTTAATAAATAAAATTGTTAATTAAAGTTTTCTATCTTGTCTGGTGTCACTGTTGATAGTTTTAGTTATATTTCAACCCAAAGTGTTATGTGATTAAATTTAACTTTCAAACTTATTTATTATACCATATTGTAAATATATTTTTTTGAAAAAAAAAACTTGTTAAAGTTGCTTAATTAACTATGATATAATTTTTTAATTCATTGTTTTCAATTTATAAATATGCAATTAAATAAACTATTAAAATAACATTGCTTGTACAATATTAAATTAAATGTTGATAATTAATTTTAACTATAATATCATGTTTCACTATTTATATTTTTTTATTATTTGATATAAAATTATGTAGATTTAAGTCAAATGACACTTTTTTATGTTATACAGCAAGTTTCCGGGTTTTTATATTTAGTATAAATTTATATTTTAAAGTATAATTTCTTTATATGAATATTTTTGCATTTTTTTCTATTATTTCTAAGAATTAAATCAAATTTAAAGTTTTCAACTATTTTTTCAGTGCATACAATGAATTGGCCCAAGGGATAATATCTACTATTTATGACTCCGGTGTGAAAACATCTAAAAATCATGAACATTTATTAGCTATTAAACAATATAATAAATGTACTCAAGGAGGATTAGTTGGAGAAGATTTGGTAATTAAAACGTTAGATCCATTTACAAAACAACCAATCACCAAACCAGTACGGAACAAAATTTGCACTCATATATATGATCAAGAATCAATCAATAAAATGTTCCTAAATAAACAGTTTATATCATGTCCATACATGGGATGTTCAAACAAACATTTTACAAAAGCTAATCTAGATCTTTCCATGATAAGTGATTAATTTGTGTTATTATTTTTAACTAATGGATGTAAAAAAAGTTGAGACTTGTTCAGTCAGTATGACTATGATAATAATTTATGATAATTACTTTTTACACTTTAATTTATTTATACATTGTACATATCTAATTTAAAAAATATAGATATATTGTACACAATCACAAAAAAAAAAAAAAATTGTACATCTCATAAATGTAAATTTCATAATATTATATTTAATGATTTTAGTTAGCATTTTCTTTTGGTATTAAAAATTATTTAAATATACTATTACATTAAATATGTTGTTTTAAATTTTTATTTAATTAAAATTCTAAGTAAAAGTTCCAATAATACATCTTAAAATCACCAACATTTTTCTATTTGACAAAAAAAAAAAGACCAGGTAATGATATGGATTAAATTAATAAATGGTAAATAGTTATAAAAATTTAAAAATAGTAATACTCAGATTAAAGTGCTATTAATAATAAAAATAAAAACATTTTAAGTAAAGCTTAGGTGCCCATACACATTATACAGTTTATAGCAGCAGTTCTCAAACTTTTTTTCCGCGGTGCCCTGCTGTATATAACATGAAAAATATAACAAAAAAGTACTCATTGAGAACCAATGAAATGTAGACCACGGTGCCCTCAGAAAGTGCTCGCGGTGTCCCTAGGGACACCGCGGTGCACAGTTTGGGAACCACTGATTTATAGAATTATATCTACCATAGTTAATGTTGTGGAATGGGACAACAAAAGAAGAATTAGACCTGGTTGAATGAAAATATCTATTATTATAAAAAACACTTAAAGACAGAAGAAAACAACATTACTTAAATTGTTTTTTCATACTAAATTTCAAATATATACAACTATAATTTATAATTATGCTTGTTTGATTATAGAATTATTAACATTTTAAATTCTGTTACTGAATTATTACATATTCTTAAGATATCTTTAGTTAATAGTAATATTGAGTTATTAATTTAATATTAGTAAATAATACTTCAATAAATATATATTTTCAAAATGTAGTTTGCTTATAATTTTTATATTACAGTAAGTTTATTAAAATTTAAAAATTTTTTCTTAAAAACCTTACATTACTTAAGAAATTAATATTTTATAATTACCATTTATTGATAATTTTTATTAAATTTTTTTTTTAGTTTTGTACAAATATAGGAAGACAAAGTTTGAAATTCAATATTTATTAATTTATTATCAAACCAATAATAAATACAATACAACTTTCTAAGTATGATGTTAAAATTTATGATTTACTTTTATTTTAGTTAATAATGTACATTAAAATAAAAGTATCATTCATACATCCATTTTAAGTTATAAGCAGACTAAAATATCAGTCTTGACAAATTAAATCATTTGTATACTATCTTAATTTTATGCCTAAAATTTTTGTAGCATTAGTTTCAATCAATTTGTGTACTTCATTCACTTCTGCTTGAGTCAATGTTTTTTCTAAATGTCTATAAACTATGCGATAACAATGGCTTACATTTCCAGTTTTTGGATGTGTAAATTGGTCAATTAGTTTTACTTGTTCAATTAACGGACCTCCACAGTTTCCAACAAGTTCATAAAAATCATTGGAACAGAAAGGTTTTTCCTTAGGTAACCAAAAACTAATATCATTTATACATTGAGGGTATATGCTAATTGGTTTATATTTCATTCGTCCATCTTTAGGTAGATTTTGAAACTGGTTGAGAAATCCTGAATCTTTAGACCAAAATAAACGTATGTCTGGTATAGAATAAAATGGCATTGCTAAACGTTCTAATCCAAGACCAAATGCCCAACCAATTCGGTTGCCAGCTCCAGAATTTTTTAAAATTTCATGTCGAATAACTCCACATCCTAAAGCTTCAATCCACTGACCATTGTAGTTAATTTCTAATTCAAATGATGGATGTGTAAATGGAAAATATTCAGATACCCACCTGTATTCAATTTCTTCACCAAATACTTTTTTAATCATTGCGACTAATGTATTTTTTAAATGATTGGTAACAATATTATTGGCCTCTATTGAATAAACGCCTTGTTTTTCATTATTTGAATTATTTTTGTCATTATCAAATACATTAACATTACTTCCATTTATTAATTCTAGTTCATTTGGAGTAAATATATGCACACCGTCAGCTTGATGAAATACAGGATAGTGAGTGGCGTCAATTTCATCTCTTCTATAAACATCACCGAATATCACAAAATTATCCAAACCCATTTTAATCAATTCAGATTGGTGGGCAGTACAATGTGCACGAAGCATGTGAGTTTTATTCAAATAATAGCTATCAGTTTTGTTTCTACTTGGATGATCTTTGGGCACAAGCAACGAATCAAAATTTTCATTTGTTGTCACGACAGGGCTAATTTCATTGTAAATAGAAAAAATTGGATTGCCCGTTCGTCCTCTGAAATGATCGTAGAAAAAATTGACTAAACGTTGTTTGAATAAGTTGAGAGGGTGGCCAATACGATTGTGATTGTTAATACCAATAAAAGATAATATTTTTGGAGTAACATTCGTATACTCGTCTCTAATGTAAGATTTACCATCAACTACCACAGACTTTGAAGCGGAGCAACTTATATTCGAGTAAGTTGCTTCTATCGTGTAACCGATACGAACCTTAAAGTATCGAAAAAAGTACACTCGGGTATTAAATTGTTGTTTGAACATGTTGATATTGTTTTTCTTAAAAAATCTTTTTATTAAATAAAATTTAATTCAAAACTAAAAATTATCGTTAATTTAGAATGATAAAAGTTATTAAAAAATGTAGACATTGAGAATTATTGAGAAAAGAGAAATACATATTTAATGAATTTAAGCAATATTTATAAATTATTACAGCAATAAATAATAAATAATAATCATAACTCGCGGTTATCCGAGAAAAGATAAGGTCGTTCCATAATCTATTCTGTGATAATATCACAAAAGATTATTCTACATAATATGATTATGATATAAATTATAAGTTATTATTACTTAATAGTTAATACTTATTAACATTATTAGAAATCACACAAATATAAAATTAATAAACTGAAAAACTTTTAAATCGTTATAGAATCCACAACAGTGTGTACGTTTCTTCTAAGATCGTGATTTCAATCATGGTTTTATACTTTAATGATTTTATTTTTGATATTGTTGATCACGGTATTTACTAATATTTAATCTAATTTATGGGTAATAAACTCAAAAGGGTTGGAAACTGCTGATTTAAACATTATATGACCTGGCCCCTGACTTTTGAGGCAACATTAAACTTCTTCCCTCTTAAAAAATTAGCAATTAGCATTACTTACAATTATATGGTAATCGAATTACCTATAACTGATCCTTATGTAATGCGTTTTTTTTTTCATCATAAAGCAATAAAAAATCTCGAAAATGCAGATAGATTTTTTAAGATGTTAGAATTTTGAAAATGTTCAACAAAATCGCGAAAACTTGCAGATTATTTTGTAGCTTGAAATTCATAACAATTTCCTTTTTTATCAAAGATTTTAAAATGTACCTAATGTAAGTTTTTCTAATAATTTAAAAAAAGTTACCCACTATAATAAGACTATATAGAAGTGTACAGGCGTCAGGCATATCACTTTTAATTTTTTTTATTCTATGCTATCGGTATGGTTTAATTAAAAGTTATTAATAGAGGACTGAAGAAGTAAATGTACTATTACTTTTTCGTACCTACTATGTACTGCGAAAACATTCCTGTAGAGTCGTTGGTTTCAATTTCAAAATGAAAAAACGTACCTACTATTCCTTATTAATTGTCTGTGGTGTATAGTACATACACATTTATTTATTTAGCAAACCTAAGTGAATAGAGTAAATTAACTATATTCTATAATGAATGATGATACTAGTATACTCTTAGATCATAGTATTCTGTATTAATGATTTAAGAACATACTATAATAATTAATAATTAATTATACATTCTATACAATATTTTATCTTTTATAGTGTTCAACAACTTTTTTCTGTCCATGAAATAGTTAGTGTAAATGATAAGAATTATCATAATAACAATACATTAAATTCTGATGGCCGTTAATTTAGAAATTTTCAAGTTTAAATGGGTAAAAATAAAATTAATAGTTTATAAGGTTGTTGTTATATTATATTAAAATGGCCGATGTGAATACAGAAAATGTATTTCCATATGAAAAAACTTTATTGAATACTATTGTGAAAAATGCTAAAGAGACTAAGGTAAAAACAATGTTTAATGTTAAATATATCCTATATAGTGTTCAATATTTTGGTAGATTTATATTATATATTATAGAAAACGTATACATAAATTTAAACTGAATGGTGATGTCTATATGATATAACAGAATTAAACTTAACATTTTTAAAGTATCTTACTTAAAACGTCTTAATTTTAGCATCCAGAAATAAGTGACTTCAATGTTATTAAACCAATCAGTAGAGGAGCTTATGGGTAAGACTATATTTTATCATGTAGGCTATTCTGCAGATTTTATCTGATTTAATCTGAATTTGTTATCTACTTTTTTTTACATTTTAATCAACTTATTTTTTTTCGAACTTAGAAAAGTTTATTTAGGTCACAAGAAGAACAATTTGGAGCAAATGTATGCTATAAAAGTTATGAAAAAAACTGATATGATAAATAAAAATATGATAACACAAGGTAATTTTTTATAATATTTACAAGACATAAGTAATTATAGTTTCATTATATTTTATTATTATTTATTGCAGTTGTTAATGAAAGAAATGCTTTAGCATTAGCGAATAGTCCATTTTGTGTTAAACTGTTCTATTCATTACAGACATCAAGCTGTATTTATTTGGTAATTAAAAAAATATATCATTCATTTTTTCATTAAAATTATTGTTCAAAAATGTATTATCATTTATCATTTATAATAAATTATGTTGTTATAAATATCTTTATATTTAAAAACAGTGAAACTGTAACTATATTATATTATAGAAGTTTACTGTTATGTGAAACTGTAACTATATTATATTATAGAAGTTTACTGTTATATTTTATTATTTAATTTTGTTTATATTATTGAAGGTTATGGAGTATATGGTTGGTGGTGATGTTAAATCACTGTTAAGTGTCATGGGTTATTTTCCAGAAGATGTAGCAACATTTTATATTGCTGAAGTTGCATTAGCCTTGCAGTATCTTCACAGGTAGTCTATTGCTGATAAATTATAATGATGAAAATTTATATTAGACTTTATCGTTGTATAAATAACAATAAAATATGCAATGTAATATATCAATATGTTCTATAAATCATTTTATAAAAAAATTATTTTAAGTTTAATTTTATAAAAAAAATTTAAAGTATTTATTATTATAATTTTCAAACTTTCCTAACACTATTATATTTTAAGAACTATAATTAACTAATAACTAAATACAGCTATTTATTAAAGTTTGATTTCTTGAAACATTAATTAAATATGTTTTAAATATATATCTTTTAGTAATCAATATATTATTATTTTTATTTGTATTCCAGTCATGGTATTGTACATAGAGACTTAAAACCTGATAATATGTTAATATCTGGTCATGGCCACATTAAATTAACTGATTTTGGTCTTAGTCGCATTACAATTCATCGAGGTAAATAGCATTAATATTATATATTACAATAGATAATATAATTCATTTTGAAATATTTTTAGATTTGGAAATAACAGATTTTATAAATAATTCTCCGAATGTTCCTACTAGAACTCCGGGTCAATTACTATCTTTAACGTCACATTTTTCATTTGTAAGTAGAAATAACCTTTTTTACACATACAAATTAATAAATAATCTCATTAATTTAAGAGAATGGTTATAAAATGGTTTAAAAATAATTAATTGTTTGTTTTTCAAATAGGGTTCAAATGAGAAAACTTTTGCCAGCAGTGTTAGTATGGGACTTAATATGGATTTGGATGAAGATGATTATAATAGTAGTCATGTGTCAGGAATTGTACCATTTCAATCAGCTAACAATACAATAGAAGGAACTACATTTTATACCTGTCAAAATTGTAGTCTTTCTACAGATTGTGGATGTTGTATAAATGATAAGGATAAAATTCACGATACACCACGTTCTACAAAAAATTTTAGGTAGGTACGTTTAGAATTAGTTTTTTTGTCATCAAACTTTAAGTTTAGAGTTCCTTATATTTTATAAATTAAAAATTGGATTTACATTATTTTTTTAAATTGCAAAAATTGCAATAATTTACCTCCCTTAATTAAATTATGCTGTATCAATGTTGCTATCAAATTTTTAATTAGTGTAGTGCGGGGAGGTAAAAAGATACTTGATTTAATTGTTGATATAATTTAGGATCTAAATATTTGAACTATGATATAACATCTAATGTACAGTGATTAAAAATTTAATTGTTCAATTATTGTCTGTTTACACATGCAATATACCTGCCAACATTTAAGTTGTAAAATACTAAATAACATGTTACATAAACACAAACAATTGAAAGGGAGGGAGGTTGTATAGTTCCTTTTCTTCTATTGGTATGCTACTGAGTGGTATTGAAACTTAAAGCTTGAAAAATTATATTATACTCCAATGACCAATATTAATATTAAAATGTACAAGATTGGCTCAAACTTTTATATATTTTTAAGATTTTTGTTTTAGTAATGTTTACAATGTTATTTTTATTAAAAAAAAAAAATGTTGGTTCTATACAGCTGAATATAAATCTATTTCAAGCTTGAATCGAAGTGATAAATCTTTAGTTATTTTAGTATACACTTAACTTCTGGCTAAAATATATTTTCAATACAATTTCATGTTCTTTTATAAGTTATGGTAGTATTTTCATATATTTAAACACATGTATTTCTCCACAAGTTTTTAATTCCCTGTGTCAGTAAACATTCAACTTATAGTTTACTGGAATACTAAATATAATTTTGGATTTAAAGTTTTGCATGTTCTATGTATTTGTTTAAATTTATTATTTATTATAATTTATGTTGAGTTCAAATAAAATCATAAAATAATATTAATTTCATTTAAAGTAAAAGATTCAAATCATCTGGTTCTGATTCCTCAAGAAAATACAGACGAAGAATATTACCACTCAGAGATTTAGAAGGTAATACATTAAACAGTTGTGGTCTTACTCAACAAATTAAACAAGTGGATTTGTCAAGTATTGGATCTAATACATCAAGCTCAGCCATTAAAAGTGTTATGAAATTGAAGTAAAGTTATCTAGAAAAATTTATTTTTCAAACTAAACATATTAACAAATATTTAATAAATTTAATTTAGAGCTGAAGAAAGATTAAGTAGTGGCCGTGTTGTGATATCTACTCCAGTACAATGTTCTCGTAAACGTTCTTATGGAGACACGCCAAAAACAATGAAAAATACTAGATTTTGTTTGCCTACTCCTACAAAATCGCCTTCTTTTTTAAAAGGCTCTCATATGGTGAAAATAAAATATAACATGAATTATTATTTTATCAATATTATTTTAGATATTAATTACAGGAAGAATTAATTATGAGCCCAATTGCAACCCCATATTTACCAAAGTTAACTCCATATCGAACTCCAAAATCATTAAGGAAAGGAAAAAGAGCGAGTGATGGTAGAATATTAGGAACACCATATTATTTAGCTCCAGAGTTAATTCAAGGGGTAGAACATGGTAATTATATTAGTATTTATTGTTAATAAAAATCATGATTAAAATTTCTAATTTGCCAAATAAATGTATGATGTAGGTTCTGGTGTTGATTGGTGGGCATTGGGTGTTTGTCTTTATGAATTTATGACAGGAGTTGTTCCATTTGAAGGTGAAACAGTACAAGAAATATTTGAAGATATTCTCAGGCGTGGTAATTTTCAAAGTATATATTTTATATAGGATTTCTTATAAATATAAACTTTAATTTTCAGAATTAGAATGGCCATCTGGAGATCAAACTTTATCTAGAGAAGCAATGGAAGCAATCGATAATTTGATGGCAATAGATCAAAATAAAAGATATTCAGGTTCAGAGTTAAGATCTTCTACAGAATTATTTTCAAATATTGATTGGGATAATCTTTTAAATGAAGTGCCTCCATTTGTCCCTACACCTGTTAGCATAGATGATACATCGTATTTTTTAGCACGAAATGAACAACAAAATATCCAATTATCAAATATAGATTTAGGATAAATCAACAATACTTTTCAATAACCTTTAATTTTATTTATACTTTTTAACGTTGAAATTAAAATTAATTTTCAGTATCAACTAATACATTTTTTTATTTTGTTCATTTGCACATCTTTTTTATTATGGAAACTAAGTCATATTTTGTTTATACACATTTTAATTTCTCACATTAGTTATTAGTATAAATAAAAATACATTTTTAATATCTATTAAAATATTTTGTTTTTAAATTTTTTATACAAGTTATCAGTATAAATAAAAAATAATTTTTGATTACTATTCAAATACCAATGTTCTTTCCAACTTAGTTTTTAGTTATAACATATATTCTATACCAATAAATTAAAAATGTAATATAGTTATAGTATATATATATAGTACTTAGTATTATATCAATATATATAGTACTTAGTATTATATCAATATATATTTTACTAAAATTCAAATTAAATTTATATTAATGTAAAAATAAATTTTTATAGTCTTAATCAAAAATTTTTTTCTGATAAAATTAAATTTTTAATAGTATTGTTAACTATCAAACAATTTATCAAACACTTCGTCAGGAGTCAATACTTTAGTTGTTGCAAATTGAGATCCGAGTAATTTCATTATTTCACCATGCTTTGATAAAGGATTTTCTCTTTTTACTCGGCTATAATTTTCTTTTACAAATATAGCAAATTTTGATAATTTCTTGGGAAGTTTAGGTTTTTGTTGTACATCATTTAAACTGTATAATTCTTTTAATGGGTCCTCATGAACAACTGGAAAATTGTTATTAGGTAATGGATTATTATTGATTTTGTTTTTGATTAATTCAAATTCTCCATAACAGTGTCCACATCTTTTTTTTTCTAGATTCAATGATTTTGAATGACGTCCAAAACTGAAACAATAAGATTTTATTTAATAAACTACAAGATTATAATTCTACTTATTTCTACTTATACTTTTTACTTGTATCACTTATTTGATTACATTACACAATATGTATGTTTAAATATACATATATACTAATAACACAATAATTCATTATTTACCTGTAACCACATTTTACACATTTGTAGGTGAATTTAGTTTGTATGTCATAACTATGGCATCTTTTTATGATTGGGAGTTCTGGAAACTTTTGCATAGCTTTATTTGCCCAGCTTTTCCATTGAGGACCATGTCCTTCAGAAATACCATTAAATATCCAACAAGCAGCATGGCAAAGTTCATGAATTAATGTATCTCTTAATCTTTCAGCTGTATCAATTATCTATAAAATAATATATATTTTATGAATTATACAGTTTTTTTTTCTATTTTATTAGAAACAAAATAAATGAATAAAAATTTACTTTAGAAGAAAGTTCAATGCGAGAAACTCTTTCACAATCTAAATTTTTGTTTATTTTGACAGAACGTTTATTAAAACACGCACCAGCAGTTGACCTTAATCGCGCATTCCATTTAAAATTCATATCAGCTGGGAGCTAGTAAAATAATATATAAATAATCAATACATTTTTTATAAACTTGGATAATTTGCTTAGTATTTTTAAATAATATAACACAATTAAAATAAAAAGCAAAAGAAAAGAAAAAAACAAATTAATTAATTCTCAATAGTCAAGGTAAAGAGATATATACATGTGCTTTAAAAGTGCTTTACAAATATGAAATATAATTTCATATTACTTACAAAATATGTTTATCAAGGTCAGCTATTTTTTTAATTTTTAGTTAATAGTTAATCCTGCAGTTAACTGGAAATAAAATCAAAAATAACCAAAATCAGATTGACTTTTTAAAAAATTAATAAAAGCCTAGATTTTTGGATGACATATTCTTATTTCATATAGAATCATCTATTATAGTTTATAAAAGGCAATGAGTATAGGATTTAAGATATGATAAAGCAGTTTGATCTAACATAATATCAATGTATGCATGGTGAACTTAGGAATTTGAAGTAAAATTATTAGAATGTACACAATTTTGTGGCTATAGCAAAATGTTCTCTTTGCATAACAATTTATCCTATTTCATATTTTATAAGCAAAAAATAATAATTTAAATTTATATATTACATAATATTTTATGCAAAAACTATTTTAATTAATGCTTCAGATATATTAAAAATATGTTGTAAATAATTATCATATGGATTCTACTTCACATTTTATATTATTAATAAGACTGATAACTCTACACGGGATACATATAAATTTAAAATACCCATAAAAAAAAATCCTGACTATACACCTGACATTTTGGTAAAAATCTTAAATAACAATTAAGGCAATATAAAAGAACTATAGGTACTTAATTAAAATCAGTTTGATCAACAAATAATTTTTTACTGAAAAACCTCCAAATAAACATATTCTGTATTTTAATCAATATGAGAAAAAAATTTGTAACATTATATACTCATTTAAACAATGAATGTGGTCACAGTATTTATAATGCTGTATTGATGGTAAATCACTTAATATGAGCTTCTTGGAGTAAATGTATCCATTAAGTTTCATTCTCATATTAAATATACACTATATAACTATGTCAAAATTAGATGAATGGTAAAGATTTAAGTAATAACTAATTAAAACTTAAAATTGATTTACCTTATCATCAAATACTTCTTTGTTGAATAATTTAAATAATACTGATACTAAATCATCTTTATTTTTTTTAAACTTTAGTTTATACTTCATAGCTTCAGGATCACATTTCATAGAACCAGTAAAACCTGAAATATTATACTAAATTAGAAAAAAATGATATTATACATTCATTAAATAAAATAAAGTTTTTCTATGTGATAATATTGTTACCAAAAGTATAAATTTTCATCTAAACAAAGCATATACCTAATTAGGTCTAGAATGAAAAATTATTCTATTAATTATAATATCTTTACTAATATTAGGTATTTATTATTTTTATAACATCAATTGTTGATTTAAACTTTTAATATTTAACTAAGTTTTCCTTATTGGTAATAATAAAAATTAAAAAATTAATGTTATCTTCTGTTTTAAAATAATAAATATATAATTTCTTTATTGTACTTCTACTTTAAGATTAAAAAGTCGGGAAAACATAACAATAAAAATGCTTTAGCAACTTACTTAAAATATGAAAAGAACAAAAATAATTCAGTTATATTCACAGTGATGATCACTTTTTTAAACATTCAAATTAACTGAACTAAAATCAAATTAAAATATTCATTATCATAAAAAAAAAAAAACCAAAAGTTGAATTTAGACTGCCTTATATAATTTAATGTACATTGATTGATAAACTCACATTGATAATCTATATTAAAATAATAAATGAAATATAGATCTCTTTATTGATATATAAGATATAATTTTACATTTTTATAATCTTAGATAGTAAATTAATTTTAACATCTAACGATTATTATTTTTATTTTTAATGTATAATTAAAATTATATGGTTAAATTTTCCAGAAATACTTACACGATAGAGAACTCAAAAATGATAGTGTTGCTTCTATATTAGATTTAATTGGTATTTTAGATTGTAGATTTTGGTAAGCATCATTTTTTTTTGTATTACTATTTTCTTTGAATGTTTTTCCTTTAATAATTTTGAAATTATTCAATTGTTTTTTATCTGCACAAGGTTTTAAAATCCTACAAAAGGAAAAAAAAATATTCAATTATTTTATAGAAACCCTATTTAGTCTTCATTTATTATTATTCTTAATTTTATAAAATGAAATAATTGATTTATAGATCAATGATTACAATTTTATTTTTAAATTTAAAATAGGCTTATTTAAATTTCTATATTCAAGATTTAATAATTTTCTTATAATGGTTAAAGCTTTAGCTCCTACTTATAAGAATAATAATATTAATTAGCATCTACCTATTTAATAATATTATTTACTTACTTATCATTTATTCGACTTGTAGAGGGATTGATAATATTTAATTGATCAGGTACTTCATTTATATCATTGGATAAACTGAAATTTCTATAAAAAACACAGTATATTATATTTAAATATATTCATATCATAAAATTAAATTTTTTAAAGAAGTTATTTTCAGTATATTAATGTAAAAATAATAATACAAATTTGCAAAATAAAAAACACAATAAATATTAGGTTAGATAAAATTCTTGGGGTATTTTAGTTGTTTTTTTTTTTTTTAAATTTCAAATAAAGTGTATAATTAATTTAAATGTACTTGGAAGATTCTAATCTAGTAAATGATAAACAAGTATTAAAAAAATATTTTCAGACTAGAAAAAGGGAATTTTATTAATGAATAGTTTTGTATAACATATTCTTGTTACATTAGACTCATTCTGCAAGAATCTATACAATTCTAAGTTCTAATACATAAAATATACGCATAATATTAAATGAAACATACTCTAATATTATTGAAGCATCATCCACTTTATTTTGAATATTGTATTCTTGATGTTTTTTCAGAACGCCAAAAGGTGATGCTAAAATGAATATATACGATAAGTATAAAATAAATATAGTCAGAATATTTTTAAATTGTAATATCTAATAAAATAAAAACCATTATTACTTACAATAATTAATTTCATTGAAATTTTTGCTTGAGATATTTTTACTGAGAGATCTAAAATAATTTATTTTTTATGTAATAGATAGTTTAAATAATAATCATGTATAATTTTACAAACTATTTTAAATTGAAAAATGTTATTTTTGGTTTGATTTTAATTTGTTAGTTTTGTGAAATAAACTATAGTATAAGGTAATTACATTAATCAAATTGTATAACACTTACTGATTAAGATCATCATCGATTTCATTGTTCAAATACTTTGTTTTTGAATTCTTAAGTACACCATCAATGCATCGCCATTCTTTACCATATATGCGGTCTAATAGTTTAGCAGATTCTGAGAGATGATTGCTTTGAATATGGTTTTTTACTGGTGTAATATAATTATTTTTAAATTTATACAAATTATCATGTATGTCATTTCTATTTTTGCATTTAAATGTAGTAACACTATCTTCTGTACCAGATAAATTATCTTCAACGGGATTAGAATGTAAACTTGTGAATGATTTAAAACTATCATTTGAACTAGAACTGATATTATAAACAGATAAATCATAATTTATACATTTTTTTAATTCTATGTTTGATTCTTTCGAAATATCAATGTGATCAATATAAATATTATGATCGATTTTTTGATTAGAATTAATTTTTGTTTTAGATCTGGGTTGAAATGTATCAAATAATTCTAAACTAGAATCAGAAAAATTATCATTTTCTTTGTCAGACATATTTTTTATTGATGTCTTAATTCCACTCGAGTTTTCATTAACTAATTTATCTTCTTTTTTTTTATTCAATTTTGGCTTGGTGTTTAATCGTACTGGAGAAAGAAATTAAAGAATTATTTAAAACATACAAACAATTATTTTAGTAGAGCATGTAGAGCAGGTACTTACTTTTAGCAGATTTTTCCATGTTGAAATATTTTGTAAGACTAGGCAAGTTGGTTTCTTTTATGACTATTACAAATTAATCAGATTTAAATGTTATGACTAAAAATTACTACAAGATACTATAAAAAATATAGTTATTAAGTACTTTAAAAATAAAAAAATTTAAATTGAATAGCTAATAGTATTGATTATATTTTCTCATTATTAAGCATTAAGGATAATTAAATGGCTTCTTAGTCATGCATTGATTTAAAGAAAATAATTTTTAAAACCAGTCGAGTATCAAGTGTCAACTAATTAAAACTAAGAACTAAGAAGTCAAGACTGAAGACAGACAAGATAGTAGAGATACAAGTGTTGTATACGTTTTGTAGTATACTACAATACCTCAATACTATATTTAGCAAGCAAAAGCAAATAAATTTGCCCGTAGGTACTATAGGATTATAGTGAAATTAGTGAACAGTGAAAACTGAATACTGGATAATAGATATTATAGTGAAGTGAATACTGAATAAGTGAGTATAGTATACTATAAGTGATTGACCTAATCTGTACTTTTATTATAAAAAAAAAAAACCGTTAAAAATATTCATATTCCATGTTAATGTTGGTTACACTGCGTTAACAGTCACACATAAAACTACGTTGTATTATCACAGAATATTCTGTGATATTATTTATATTGTAATAATTTTGTACAATTTACTAACAATTTACTTGTTATCTATACTCTATAGTGTTATCATACACGATACATAATATGAGTATAAGACTATTAAGACTTGAGAATTTGAGATTGTACAATTAACTGTTCATTTTTATTTTTTATAACAGATTACAGTTTTGTGTTTAAAAAAATGAAAAATATTAAATGCGGACTACTGTAATAATGTCTGTTAGATGAATAGCAGGATTACTAAATTCTAAAACTGCAGGCTGTTGTTATTAGTTAATATTTATTATATTGGTGAGTGGTGGTAGATAATACTATAATATTGTTCTTATATTCTAAGCTTTACGTCTAAATACCTATTGTATATGCCAAAAAATATAAATTATAATATTTAAACTTATAGATAGAACTCTATCTAAAATTATGCTAATGTTTGATGCCAAGGCTTCAGAAAACAGAATAAATAAAATAGACGCGGGGTTTGTAAAATAGATTAATGTATTTATCTGTCTTATAAATTCACAGGACAGATGATGCTATTGTTGTCAATAGGTCTGAGTTATAATCACAGTCTTATAGATTCTAATATTCTTTGATATTTCATATAGTTGTTTATTTCGATCCATATAAAATTTTAAATTACAGTCTTCAAATGGCACAGTATAGATTTAAAAATATACAAAAAATATTTCTTGATTAAGTATTGTAATTATAGGTATCTACATTAATTATAATTACACTAGGCAGTGGCCTATTTACGGAAGGAGATGAGAAATATATCTCCCCCCTTGATTTTTTTTTAGTATTTTTTAGTTTTTTAAATGATAAATAAATAAATGATTCATTATTTAATATATTATATGATAAAATTATAAGGTTTATGTACCTACTATGTTTAGATATAATATATATTATGTGTGTAGTTATAATAAATTGATAGTATCTTCATGTATTTCGAGTGAAGAGAGAAAAAATATTTCAGTCATATCCCCCCCTTTAAATAAATCCTAAATACGTCACTGATACTAGGTATATAATGTTAGTGCAGAGCTATACTTTCAGGGACGCTGTTTGATTGATTTAGAAATTAAAAGTAAACGTATACCTAGGTACGTTATAATTTTAAATTACTTATAAAGTCATAAAATAGAACATTTATTAAATTAAATCTAATAAGCTTTTGAATAGCTAAAAATGTAAATATTCATTTGGCTTAAATCCTGAATACTTATATATATCAATATAATAAAGTGATCAACATCGTTGAATATATTCATTCTGAAAGTTAGGTAAAATATCTCACCACAAATTGCAATTTATTTTAATATTATGCTCATCAATTGTTAATGTTTATTTTTCGCGGATTTTTTTTAGTTTCTAGCTATATCTATAATTTAGTTCAATATTATTATTTTAATTGATACTTAAAGATTTAGAAATTAATATCTTTTAGTCTTTTCTAAAATTATATACTATATTAGATATAAATAATGATCCAAATGTATTGATGCCCAACAGCCATTTTTTAAAACCATTTGGCTATGTTTTATAGATACTATGTGAATATTGAAAAGCGATTGAATGATCTATAATCTCGTAGGAGCTTACGATTATTTTATTAAAATTGTTCATAATGTTTAGTATAAGTTTTAAATTTTAAATACGTATAATGCATAACATAGGTAATATAAATTATAATGCACCCTGTTCTCTTAAAGGTTTGAAAAATCACAAAAGCGCGGGGTTGTGTGATCGGTCGGACTATAGAACTCGAACTGGACATTTGGTGTCACTGGTTACGGTTCATACCGTTGCTCCGTGTCCGTATTCCCCGTTTTCAGTTTGTGATTGTCGCCGATCATGTATGGTAGTTTTGCGCTTTCGTGAAACATGTGCTGTTCGCTTAACGTTGGCCGACCGTCAATGTTGTTATTATTGTGCATCCGTCTATCTGATTATAATGTCAAATACGCTTACTGTTGAGAAAAAATCGGAAACCAAATCCAATCCTCAGGACTCGCCCACTATCCGGATACAAGTCGAATTGTTCGAACCCACTGACAACAGATATCCTGTGTTCAATTATCAGAAGTTACTCGTTGAAGAGGTAAGTACAACGAAGTCAAGACTATACGTGTTAACAATACACACATATATATTCCACACACATTGATACACACACACACACACGCGTAAGTACACGCACTAACATTTGCGTATCATCAGCGTATGTTTGCAAATTGAAATAACGAGTCGATTATGTGTTTATGAGTGCACTAATAATTATTGCATTATTATCACACGATAATAATAAATCACGACATGCATTAGCATACACATGTATTAATTACAATACTGGGATTACCGATTTATCAATCGGACTTGCGATTGTATTAATGTTTGTCGGCCCCTATTGTCACGATAATGGAGAAGCGTCTTTATATCCTCTATTTACAATTATGAAGCCGATGTACCCATGAATTACTGATTTTACACATTAGTCAACTTTTTGATCAGTAGTTGGTAATGTCTATGCATCATGTAGGTATCTTGTACTTGAATCCCTGTTCTCAAAGTCCTCATATTTATATAATGCTATTACAAGTTTTGGAAAAAGTTGTACCTACTTTGAGGTAGCCGTGATATTTTCTCTTCTTTTAGAATGTACATTTATTTCTTAATAATATTGATCTGTATATTGAATAGAATTTAAATTGACTACCAAAATGTCTAAATTTTTTTTTTATTCAGAACTTCCAAAAAAAAAAAAACGTCTAAATCAAAGCATCACTTTATCATCTATTGTCTTTAAATGTTTTATTTATTGTTAATATTGTATTTTTGTCTTTGATATTTGATGTATTTCTGAAATTTCTATTTGGTATTATAAAGAAAAAACTAAAAACAATAATGTTTTGCCAATGATAATAATATACTATTTTATTTTTAATATTATACTTAAATATTTATTATTTAAATTTTTTTTTTTTAAATTTTGAAGAATTAAATAAATTATTTGTGTTTATAAGATTTATTTTTGCTCTTAAACATTGAATAAAAATATATTTTTATTCATTTTAAGAAAATATAAACAATAAAGCAGAAACGGCTTAGCTCACTGTAATATTGGAAAATTTGAGTGATTTGATTTTTATCATTATAATTATCCTTTCTCAAATTGTGTTTACAATAACTTACAAATACAAATTTTTGTCAGCCTTGAAGTATTTTTCTAGCCAATATCTGAATGGCAGAATGGATTCCTTTAAAAACAATGTCATGGGATTGTATACTTATTACCTATCTAAGGGCAGAAAGCAGATTTGCATAAAATATTTAATGTAAATTGATACTTATAGAATGTATCTAGGTAATTATGTAGTATCATGTTAATAAAATGATCATTAAAAATATTAATGGCATATAGAAAATTACTATTTAAACTAAATTTGCACTAGAAATAAAAATAATAGAATTTTAGTAACATTTTCGATTAATATTAATTGTTTCTGAGACTTGGGTAATAAATTCTTCCTAGATTCTTAAACTTAAAACTGTTGTATTATATATTATTATTTTAATTTTTATACTTATTGATACCCAATACAAAATATAACTGCCTTAGATTATACTCCCATATCATAACTAAAGATTATGAAGTACCTAATTATGTTCAAGATAATTTTTTGCATTAATTTCATTGATTATGTGCTTTATGTAAATTCATAGTTAGGTAAATTTCAACTTTTTAATTTATATGTTAATCTTTATTGGATATCTACATATATTTTATATTTATGTATCATAATATATTTTATATTATTTAATAATTTAATTAATAATCCTTAAAATTTAACAAATTTAACTATTTTTAATAGCCTATTGTTTACAAATAAAATGATAAATAAATTAATAATTTAATAATTAATAATAAATGAATTACAGTGATTTTATTTACATAGATTTCAGATGTATACTAATATATTTATTTTGTTATTAATTGTTAGGGCAATTTTCTTCTGTCTATCAGTGTGGCCACGCATTCAAATGATTAATAAAAATATTTAATCATTAAATGATTTGGTAGTGGTTATGATATTATTCAACCCTACATGATACGGTATGGTGAGAATTTAGCTTGATGGTAATGTGTGTAATTTAAATTTACATTTAATAAACTGCAAAATTAAAGTAAATAATGGTTTTAAACTTATTTTGATACCTTATTTCATATTATAAAGCTAATAACAATATTAATAGACTGCAGTGTAAACAATAAATTATTTAAATATATTGGAAAATGACATGTGCAATGCAATGTGAACAATTAGAAAGTTACATAACATAGTAAAAACAATATCCTGTGTTATTGTTTATTATTAGTAGTATAAATATTTTATAGTTTTTCCTTGTATTTTGTTACAGAATAAACGTCGAAAAAGGGATCAGCAATCTTATACTCTTGAAGAAAATGACGAATCTATAAAACAATTGGCTGACAGTTATGAACAAAAATATGTAGGTTCCTATAATTGAATGTTTTGTTAAATATTAAATTATAACTTATAAATAATTAATAGTTAAATTTCAGTTTTTAATTACTAGGGTTGCCAGATTTTAAAATCATCAAATTGGAACATCATAATATTGAATAACCTTAATTTTTTCTTTTTTTTATTTCTTTTTTTTTTTTTAGTCTCAAAAAAATGTCAATAAAATTTAGATAATGGTATTATATATACATTATTATTCTATACTTTGTTATTAAATAATACAATATTAAAGTTATTTTTTCTTGGCTCTCATTAACCGGGACAAAAATTATTAACCGGCTAAGACACCAAAACGAATGACAAAAAATAAAACAAATTTAAGATCATTAGCTTAAACATTAATATCATTAAAACTATTTTACTTCTGTATATGCTTTATATTAGTTACCTTTATTTTCCTATAGTAACATTTTGATTCATTATACAGTAAAAAAGTATTAATGAGTTTTGAAAATATTTTCAATGATTATTACTACCAATACAATCTTTAAATAAATAATGAAAAAAAATCTGATAATATTTATTGTAATTTATATTGAAATTCATTATAATTTTAACAAATTATGTTTGTAACGATAATTATGTTTATTTTATCTTTAACAGGGGTTTAGTGGTGTTAAGAAAAAGAAAAAGAAAAAAACTGCCTTCTATAACTATTCTGAACTTGCAACTGGTTATGATGAAAATGATTCATTTATTGATAATGATGAAATTGTAAGTATCATAATATATACCAAATAAAATATTTTTATTATAAATAAACATAATATTAGGTACATTAATAATACTTATATTTGTTTGAAACACCTATCAAAAAGATAATTAATAATTTTACCTTCGATATAATAATTGTGTAATTAATTATTATTTTTATTAAATCATACACTATTTAACACAAACCATTTGAGTAATAAAATTAGAGTATAATTTTATAATCTATTAAAGTAATTGATTTACATTTTATTGATGTATTTTTTTTTTTTTAATATATAACTTATTTATAAATATAGTTTGATGAAGTCATGCCAAAAGATATTGAAACAGAACATGGTGGTTATTATGTAAATTCTGGTTCTTTAGAATTAAAGAAAGTTTGTATGTCTGAAGATTCTGAAGAAATAAAATCTAGTCAACCTCGTAAGGTATAGTATAGTAGTATATTGCAAGTACATTCTATAATTATTGTTATGTTATTTAAAAAAGGTTTTATATTTTGAGAGTTGAAGTATAAATTTTGTTTTTAAATATTTTTAGCATTTTATAAATACTGTATTAGAAGATAGTGATGAAAAATTGCCAAATTTTGCTGTTTCAAGTAATTCAGAAAAAAATTCGCTAACTGAAACTAAGGTATTTTTATGAATTATTATTTGTTTATTGTAAAAATTAATCTTAATATTTCAATATTATATTTTAAAGATTTCTGATACATCTGATGATTCGTCTTGTTCTGACAAAGAAAAAAAATCTACAAAACCTGTATGTATACCGAAACATCCAGTGAATGGTAAAGTCAAACGAAGACAGTCAATTGATTCTGATAGTGCTGGTTCTATTATTCCAACTAAAAAGAAGAAGATCAGTACAGTTAAATCATTGATACAAGAAAAAAAAATTCAGATACCAGAGTGCAAACCAAGTATTTTATTTTTTATAACCATCAGATATTTTAAAATAGTATATTCTTGTTACCTTATATCATTTCATTTTATAAAATGTGTTACATTAATTATTAGTTATATTATAATTTATAAATATCAGATTAGAAGAATACACAGAATAATGTAAAATTAGTTTCAATTACTTTTAAACCTTTTTAATCATTTTTTTTTAGGCTGTTCAAAAGATACTCTACCTTTATCTTCTGACGAAGCACCTGTTACAGAAAATAATAGTTCTATTCATGATACAATTGAATCTGTCATACACGCTTGTTCCAAACCTTCAAATGTACCATGTCAGTATATATAAATATTTATATTTGTTTATTTTAACAATTAAATAATTTAAATATTATCAATTTCAGTGAGTTTAGAAAATGATACTGTTAAAAGTACTCGGAATGTAATAAATTCACCTATCAGTATTGATGTACCAGTATCTAATGGTATTAATAATGCCGTAGAAGAACTTCCTAAAATTATACTTGAAATTATTGAATCAATTAAGACTGAAGCTCAAATAGCAATTCGAAATAATTTAAACGGTTTTTCAGAAAAAATTAATTTAGATCTATTAAGGTATAATAAATTTACTATTTATTTTTTTAGTTTAACAAATTAAGTTATTAAATTATTTAGGAGTTGGTTTGAAATGTAGATTAAAAATAAAGATATATATTCGTTAAGTTATTAGTGACTATTAAACAATTAGTACATTATTTGGACTATATAAAAATGCTTACTTTATCTTTAATATTACAACATTGGAATTTAATTAAAATAGCATAAACTTTTACACATACTATATCACACTATTACTGCACGAATAACAAAAAATGCATATATTATGTTACATATGATAATAATAATCTTTTTATATAATTTCTTCAATTCTTTAATCATAAGAATAATTTTTATATCTTAAAAGTTAAAATTAATTTATAAATAACTTGTAAAATTTGCAGATACAAGTATTTCATATTATTATAGTTAGTGTTACTAAATTGTCAGTAAACATTGCATCATTTTAAAGTTGAAAATTTAATAGTAGCAATTTTTTTTTCATTTTTTTTTTTAGCTTAAGTTATAAAATTCTATTACAGACAATTATGTTTTGACCCGCCTTTATATTACTTAGTCAAGGCAAAAAAGTATTTTAATGAATTGTCCAAAAACAATGCAGTGTGCATAGACTGGTTTAGTTATCACATTGCCATATTGTCTGTATTGCCTGTGATAAAAACATTTTTAATTGGTTTTTGATTTTTATGTACTACACTTTTAAATGTTATCACAAGCTTTTTGATGAGGTATGTCTGGTTTACAATTTAAAACCTTACCTTTCTCAACTGATTACTTGCTAATCAAATCTTATCTCTCCAATCGTTACTTCCATGTTAAAGTTGGTTTGTTATACTCGGGTATATTAAGATTAGTGCAGGTGTTCTACAGGGGAGTTTCTTCTTTCCTATATTAAACAATATCTATGCTGCCAATCAATCCACCTCACCAATCACAACAGTTGTTGAGTTTACAGACAACAAGGTTATTATTTATATTTGTAAAAAATTGTTATATCACCTCCTTTAAACTTCAAAACCAATTTGTTTACTTCATCGTTTAGTTCAAAAATCAACCAGTTCAAATCACTTTACACTACATTCCCTCTTTGTATTTGTCCCTATCCTGTAATGTATCTAGATAATATTCAAATTCCTACATTTTAATTGACTAAATACTTAGTATAATAATTATGGACCACTGGCTCATTTGATTATACCACATAAAAACATTAATGTTGAAAATTCAAATGTTTCAAAATAATATCTTTCGTAAAATCACCAATTTATTACCTTATATCTTAAACTTAAAATAACTTACCAATCTAAAAATCAAAACTGCCCATGAAGAAGCAGTACCCTTTATAAAAGATTTCATTCCAGACTCCAATCTCATATCAACTACCTCATGTCTAATCTTGCCACTCTCACAATTTCTGGGAATCCTTCAAGATAGTTTAAAAGGTACCGAGTAGGTTGAGACCTACTGAAAGTTTAATGATTAAAAATTTAAATTAATAAAAAGTAAATAAATAACATTGGGATAGTGTTATTACATGTTCTTATTGTTCCTTAAGGAACAGATTGCTTATATCTTATATAAATAATAATAATAAAAACTTAAATAAAAAATTTTTTTTACAATAATACATTTTATTATTTTTTTACTATAAATTATATATCAAGCAATTTTCATAACAAAATTAAATTGATTTATTAAAATTTTTTAATATTATTTAATATGCTACTAATGCATAATATAGTTATTTTTTACTTTTATAATACATTTCAGTTATATTTTTTATATTAGGATGAATTTATCAATTTTAAAATTTAAATGTAAGAATATTATGTAGGGCCCTCAGTTTATATATGTATAATAATTAAAGTAAGTTGTGGAAATTTTTAAATTATGAAGAAAAAAAATATTCTAAAATTGGACATAATTAAATCATTTTTTATTGATGTGTTTTAGTCTTGAATGTCATAAAGAAATAATCTCATTTAATACACAACCTATTTATGCAACCTTAGCTGAGCATATGTTATGTGATAAAGAAAAAGTTATAAAACAAGTAAATCAGTTGGTTGAATTTGAGGAAGAAAAAATTACTGAGCCAATTAAAAGGTAAGTATTCAGAATATTTGTATATTTTTAAAATAATTTTAGATTATTTCATATAAATTATACTTGACATGTTTAGGTTAAAGGATGCAATTAAAAAAATAATACCATCAGTTATTGAACAATATGATCTTGATTGTAATAAAATTTTAGGTCAAAGGTATGTACATTTTTTTCAATTTTATTAAATATTTTAAGTTTTAATAAATCATAAGAAGTAATGTTAATATCTATTGGATTGTTGTAAAAAGCAAAAGTTTACTAAAAAATGAACTTTTTCCACACAAACAAATACTTTAATCTATCTGATGGTTATAGTGTTAAAAAAGTTTGAAATTATATGTATGAATGTATCAATACTATTTGCCTAATATATAAAATATTAGCTGGTAGGGGGTTTACTCCTGTGTTGTCTTATAAAACAATTTGGTAAATCTTATTAACGAAAATGGTAAGAACAGTTCATTAATGATGAGTGATCATTAGTCACTTTCAGTTACTAATACCCCATACCCTTTGTTACATCATATGGCATAAACATTTTTAAATTAAGATGTTCTTGCATTTACAATATATTGGATAATATATGCTATCGAAGCAAAGATCTATCATGATAATGTTGCTAATTAATATTTCAGTAGTAATATAGATAAGAGGCATGGACAAAAAATAATGTATTTTGATATGACTGGCATGAATGTAATTTCAGATTTAAGAAAAATGTGGTCCTTGACAACAGCTTGTATGGCACAAACTGAAATAGCTTTTGTTACACCCTTTTCACACTAAACTATTTCTGTATTATTGAAATAATAAAAAGTATTATGATTCAGAACACTTTAGAAAACCAAACATCTTGTGTTAAATTATTTTAATGTTTTTTTGATATAAAATTTCTTTTTCACTTTTAATTATATGTGTATTATAATTTGATATTTTCAAAACGTTTTTATATTAATTATAAATAAAATTCATTTTGTAGAATTAATTTCTTTAAATTTGAAACAATTTTACTCGTGATTAAATAAATTTTCATAATATAAATATCTAAAACGGGCTGGTTCTCATTAATGTATAGTTAAAAACTTTATTAAAATATATTAATAACTACACTGTTATTTTATGTATAACATTTTGTTGATTATCTAAAGTTACAACTAATAATGCAGAATGCTATTCAGCAAATTTTCTGTTGGAAATGTGACTAAGTACCTTATACTATATTACATTTAACACAGTAAATTTAAATAGCCAAATATTATTTGTTATTATTTTATTTTTATGAATTTTTTTTTTTTTTTTTTTTGCTATTTATTTCAATGTTTTATTTATAGTATAAGTATAATTTATAATAATTAATTTAATAAAAGCATAAAATAAATTTTAAATTCATTAATTTTTGATATTAGTTATTGGTTTCTCATTCAATATCTTTTTATAGTTAATATGTTATAAATTAATGCATTACTATAAATTACTATCAAAAAGCTTTATTAAATTAGTTTTAATATTATAGTTTGCTGTGTGTTAAATTCTTATTGTAAGATAATTTAAGATTGAATATAAAATAAAATATTACAATATTTTATAGCTTTATTATGAGACATAATTTTTTTTTTTTTCTTAATCATTTATTTTATGTATTATATATTATAAAATTATATTAAATTTGCTTTTATTCTAAATTTTTCAGGACTGTTAATGGAACTTCTAATGATGGATTAAAATCAAAACCTGGACCTAAACGACCACGTCGTAAATTTCCTTGGAATGAAGAGTTTAGGTAATTTTTATGTTATTATAATATTAATATCATAGATAATTTTTTATCATTTTTGATATCGATATTGAATTTATATATTGAGACATCAGCAATAACTTATGAATGATTGTGTTATTGAAAATATAATTAAAATTATTTTTATTTTTTCTATCAAGTATATTAATAAATACTTTAAAAATCAGTAAAGTTCTAGTGAAAATAACCATTTTTTAAGAACCTAAATATTTAATTTTAATCATACAACATGTAAACAATATGGTTTTTATGTCAAAGTAATTAGAATTGTTTGTGTATTTAACTTTTAAATAAAATGTGTGATAAATTAGTGCCTTTTTTGGTATAAGAAATAATATATAATGAAACTCTAGTAACAAAAGTTTTATTTTTTCAATGTCAATGTTCTGTTACATACCAAAAATATTAAAATAATATTGATATTAAAAATTTATTCACACTTATTAATAATTTATTTATTTCTAATAATCATTTTTAATATGTTACTCACTTAAACTTATTGACTTCTTGATAGCTATAAATAAACTTTAATGTTTTACGTGATATTTTTTAAACCATATTTTCTGTTACGACACCATTGTGTAGTTATATAAATCATTACTTTAGTATTGTCAGTACCTAAAATATATAAATTTAGACATGTGTTAGCCCACGGGCTAATTCCCCAAAATAATTAATTAGCCGTTGTTTAACTAAAAGTCATTGAACCAGAATTATATTTTTGGCCGTAGAATAGACTTGTTTGTATCTATTAATTAAGCTCTAAATTTTCAATTAAATAGTAAATTATAAAAGAAAAATGTGTACAGAAATTTAGACTCTCAATTAGATATTCTTTGGTTGTAATAATATATCTAATTAATACATAAAAATTATGAATACTTATTAATTATTTATACTATGTCAATTTATTAACAATATTATTTAATTAATTAATTTAGATCATTAGTGAGAGAAATAATTAATATCCGAAAAACTACCTATTCTAAAATCAGAAGATCCCATTCAATAGATGATTTTATTTCTCAATTCATAAATAATCAAATAAAACCATTATGGCCGATTGGGTGGATGAAGTCTACCAATATTTTAAAAGAACTCAAAGTAAAAGAAAAGGACTCTAGGTAATGTTTTAATTTTTTATTCATACTTTTGATAATATAATATTTGTATCTTTTTGTTCTTTATTTTATCTATTTACTTAATTTATTTTTTAATTTTAAATTTAGTAATTAAATTATGAAAAGTAATTTGAAAAAAAAAATAATTTTTTTGCAGACCTAAATTACCAAAAAAACAACCATTACATAATAGTCCAATTAAATTACTAAGTGCTATTAAATTGGCTTCTGAACATAAAGTTTCTAATTCTGCCATGAACAAATTACATAAATGGAATAAACAAAAATCTTCAAAAATAACCAACTTTAAAACAGAAACAACTACTAAATCAACTAGTCAAACTCCATCTTCAACGCCATCTACAACATCTGCTTTAAAACAATTTTATAGTCCTCCTCACACAGTAGCTATTAGTACTTTAAGTAATGATGCATGTCCTTATCAAGCTACCATTACAACTACATCTATTAATGGCTGTAAACAAAAAGAATCTGAAAACAACAGTGTTATTGTAGAAACAAAAGCATCTAATGGAGATGTATTAGATTTATCACCAATTAAATCCAGTCCAATGTCATATGCATCTAATAAATTAAAAGATGTTTCTGAGATGTGCAATAACACTTCACAAGATAATAACAGCCCTACAAAAACGGTAAGAATGAATAATGTTTGAATATGTTAAAGTTTTTTATCCGCTGAAACAAAAATATTATTTTAAATAAAATTTCTATTTTTTATTTTTTTTATTTTTTTTTTTATATATATAATTTATATTTATATTTTTTGATACATTTGTTATGGCTTAATAAAATAATATGTTCAAATTACAATTAATTTTATAAATTTTAAATTAATCAATAGTATTACATTTTTGTTTTATGAATGCTTTTGATCAATTTACAAAACTATTAATATAATAATGTACATATTGGCTATAGTTATTTTCCTTATTTCACACTTATTTATTATATTCTGTTTTATGCATGTAACAGGCTATAAATAGTCACATAGTAACACATGGTTTTTTATTGACTTGGTTTTGCACTACAAGGTGTTTGTTAATGGTTTGTTATTAATATTTTGTACTATGTTAACATTCATATTTTTTATACAGTTTTCTGGTGATTATAATTTTTTATTAATAATCCATGGTTGTAAAAATGAAGGATTGATTTTATCTGTGTTTATTAAGTATATTTTATTGATTGTAATGAAAATAGTAACATGATAATCTGAGTTACTTATATAACTAACATTTATTGAGTCTATTAAGTAAAATGAAAAGAGACAATTTAAGTTTGATTACGAGTATAAGTGTTTATTAATATTTCAATGTATTTTGGTTAACACATTATTAATTATTTTTAAATTACTTGATAACTTACCTCTTTATTATCTCAGAAAGCCTACTTATAATTTACACTAAGAAAGGGGCAATGCACAATTTCCCTCGAAAGATAATAAAAGTAGAAGTAATCAAAGGTTAAAAAAATAGGTTCAAAAATGTATACCACTGAGGTCATCCCTATACAAAATAACTTAATGTATATAACTTGTTCACTTAAACAATTTTTATACAAATATATAAAACATTGTTATGTTATACATGTAATAAAATTAATTTTTATAAAAAAGTAATTAATAGACTGGATTTATTCTCTACTTTTAATTAACGAGGTTGATTGATTCATACATGGTTAGTAGATAATATATAAGTATCTTTAATGTTACCTATGCTCCTATCTCTAATCTATTATTTAATATTATTCAGTTATAATTATAGGAAAAAAATGTGACAGTAACCCTTTTGACAGCAATCAATTCAAATATATGTAAAGTATCACCTAAAGTCAAAATATACTTTTTGCAGAAAGGTTGAAAATAAATTTATTTAAGTAAACACAATATAGTGAATTATATAGTTAATTTTATTGATATCATTTTTGATAAAGTTAAATCAAAATATAATTAGATGAATTAAAGAGAGGTTCATTGTTATATACTTTAATGAGGTATATTTTATGAAGTATATTGACTTAAATTTATTATATTATAAATTTGGTAAATGGCACTTGATTTTTATTTGATGCTTAATGATTAATAATTAATAAATGATATAGATATGGATTGTTTAATCTAATATTTTGATGGTAATGGTATTATGGCTTTTTCCTGGTTTGTGTTCAAATTAGTTATATCTATAAATTATATTTCCATTGATAACTTAAAAATAATTATTTAAATTGACTTACGCATTATGGTAAACTATTATTTTATACTAGAATGATCTTTATCTATGATAGCTGTTAATGCAATATTAATGAATTTGTCATATCAATTCCTAAGCTCTTAAATGTTGATATTTTATAACTGCAGTGTTATATATTGCCAATGGCACCCACAGTTAGAATTTTAGATGGTAATAGATTGGCTTATTAGTTATTTGAACTAGTATAATTAAGGAGTTGTTTATAGACATTCGTGGGTATTAAATAATAAGAAAATTATAAATTGAAATAACATAACTATAATTCTTATATTTATTTTAAATTTACAAATAATGTTAAATTAACAAAATAATATATACTGAAGATAGATTTTTTTTTTATAATAAATATGAATATTTTAGTCTATTATATCTAGTGACTTGCAATTTTTAAGTAAACTTCACTTAGTTTTTTATATAATATTCAAATAAAATCAAGTTTGGTCAATACTTTGAACATGTTTGCAGGATTTGCAAATTAATCCAAAGCACATGATTCATCAGCCAATTTCACGAAAACAAAGATTGCTGCAGGAATTGCATAATAAACCTTCGCCTGACCAACAAAGGTTATCAACCCATAATTTTACTGTTGATCGACAGAGCACAAAACCAAAAGTTGGTTTGCATACACATATATTGTATATTATGTGTTAATTAAACAAAAAAATTAATTTTTATTATGTATTTTTTAATTAAGGATGACAATTCAATTTCGTCAACAAATAAATTAGACTGTATAAAAGTTGATGATAAGTCAACTGCTAAGGATATGTTAAGTCAAATAATCAATGAATCTTTAATGGACAATACATCACCTTTACCCTCACAATTTACAACTAATAGTAGTTTTTATAAAATTGTATGTAAATAATAGTTAATTTTCTTACTATTATTTTGATAATTAATTTATCGTACTTTGGTATTCAGAAAGATGAGACTAAATCGTCAACCTCAGTCGTAGTTAAACAAGATATCAAAAATGATTATTCAGATTGGCCACATAGTGACCGAAACACAGCATCTAAAACTCCATCAAGCCATCGATCATCCAGTGCTGAACTTGCAGAAAAAGAAGCACAAGAAGTTATTAGAGACTTGTTAGTTTTAAATCAACTATCTTGTTCATCACGGACTACTAGTGATAATACTTTTAAAAAACATTCATCTATGTATACTTCTCATTCACCGAACACACTGGTTAGTTCACCAATAGGAGTCATCCATCATCCAGCTTTTAGAAATTCATACACTACAGTATGTATTGGTTAATTTGCATAATTCAAAAATGATTTCGGTTTAAGTAAAAAAATGTGCATTGTTTTTTCTTAGTCAAGCAGTACAACGAGTAAATCAACTTATGGGACAACAATAGGCATTCCAAAAATGAATATTGGTCTAAAAGATGAATTTCTTAAGCACATGGTGAAAACTGAAGAACCCACTTCGCGATTAACTACAGAAAGTTTTCAGTAATTAATTATTGTTATTAGTCATAGGAAGTTTGTTTTTTAATTGATCGCTTTTACAGAAAACATGGTATACCACACTATGGTCTTATACAAAGTAATGCTCAAATGTCCGATGTAAGTCGATTTATTATTGACATATTTAATTACACATCTAAAACTCCAATAAGCTAAGTTAATGTTTATAAATATAAATCATTTCAGAACTTATTTCAGCAACAATTCTTTTCAACATTGAATACAAAATCGAATAAAGATAATATGAGTCATAATTCAATAACGTACAATAGTAAGTTATTTAGTATGAGTAATAATTAATTTGCACTAATTAAAATATTAAATTTCAGGTAAAAACGAATAAAGTAAATATATTTTATATGTACTAATATAGTACAATACTATAAAGATATTTGATACAGTCATAAATATCTTGAGTTCACTATCTAAGATTAATATTTTTGTTTTTATTTAAATAATTAGTATTATATTAAACTAGTAGTATTATAATTATTGAGGATAGACCTCGTGATTAATGTAAAAAAAATAATAATAATAATAATATGTATTTTAAAATGTACATTAGGTATATTTAAAAAATAAATGTTCATGTATATAATATTGTATCATCCATATTTATTTGCTCAGTGTACATTCCATTAAAGTCCATCCTAAACATAATAAGGACAAAATAATGTTAGTACATTTTTGTTAACTATATTTTATAACCTATTTTTATATATATATATAGGTCTTGTCATAAGTTAAATTTTTTATTGTATTTTCTTACCTGTACAAAAAATTGTAAATAATATTACCGCTATCTAAACGGCTCATTTTTCTTATACATTTTAAGAGGTCTATCATTGCAGCTGTAAATTTGTTTTCTAATATTTGTATACTTTTTTCAAAATCGAGTTTCAGGTGATTAAGATGACTTTTGGATAACTAAACAATATAAATTAATTATTTAAATTTTAAACATGTTTGATATAAAACAATTAATGATTAATAATTAACATAAAACACCAAGCTAAATTTAAGTACAAAAATAATAATAAATAAATAAATTAAAGATGATTTTATTACAAATTTATCACAGTTCAAAAGTTTTATATATAACAATAAATGTTAAGATTCTTGAATAACAATTAGTTTATATTTAAATAACAGTAATAGCCTTTAACATAAAAATGTTAGAAATAAGTAATCACATCTATATGTAAAAGTGATTGATAGTGTTGAGACATTTTTTTATCCGAGAAGTTTTTATGAGTTATAAAGTTACTAAATAATTAAAAATAATAAAATGTAAGCTTAAAAATATACTTTAATGTATGTAGAAAGAAATAAAAATTGATAAAGTATTAATAAATTTTTTTTTTACACTAATAAAGAACTCATTCTTAAAAGTATTAATTAGACAACTTATTTCTGTAACTGTTCAACGACTAAACAGACATTGAGTATTGTTAAAACATATTCTAACAACCACAAATTTATTTTAGCTCGATATGGTACAACTAAGAAATGATGCTTTTGTTATTTGTATATATATATTATGCCATACGGGTATTATAACTTGCTATAAAATTGTATAATTAACTAAGTCTGTATCTATCAAGCTGGTAACTAACGAGATTTAAATAAAATCTATCACAAATGCATAGTATGTAGTACTAATTTTTAAAGGAATGTTTCCTGGTAAGACTTAAGACATAATAGTAGTGTTAAGACATAGGTAGTGCAATGGTAAAGACATGGCAATAAATCTGTGCATGGCAACATTTTTAAAGATATAATTATAGGTAATTTCTATAAAAATATATAAGTAAATAATTATAAAACTGAATTCCAAAAGTAATCACAAATCTACAAATCTAATTTATTTTGCTTTGAAAAAATGTTGTAATTTAACATTAATTGTTAACAATTTTAGTGACGACTAATTATAAAAGTAATGGATTTTAGTTTTACTGATAAGATGCAATTATTATAAAAATGGCCTATACTGAGATTAATACAATATTTGCAATTTTTTAACATGGAAAAAAAATGATAAAGAAATTTTAAATGAAAAGGCTAAAAAACAAAATGGTAGTAATTGGTACAATGAAGATTTAGAACCTGATTTTGAAATCAATGAATATTTTCCATAAAAAGATAAAAATATCTTTAATTCCTATATAAAGCATTAACAAGAACAAAATTGAAAAATATATTTCCAAGTGTTAAAATAGGATTGAAGCTTCTTGTTTTAATACAATACTTAAATGCTATTGGAAATTATTTGTTTTCATTTCAAAGAAAGTGAAATACTAAATAGGAAAATTACAATATCTAATTAAAAATTTCATTGTAGGAATTTATGGCTATAAAAAATTTTATTTTACAAAAATAAATAAATATTGTCAATGTATAATAATTATTATTATGTAATAATTTAATGATAGGTGAAAGGGCATAAGTGTGACTAGAACTTAAATTATTTAAGCTTTTATATTCAAAATTAACTTTAATAGATTAAAAAAGGTTAGTTCTCATTTTGAAAAATAAGTTAGTACTGCAGAACATTCCTTAAGTAAAAATCTAAGCATTTGTTAAATTTTTGAAATAATTTAGGAACATACTTGTACTTAGTCAATTGGAAAAATAATTTTCATGAATTAATATCCAACATATATATAAAGGAGGTTAAGCTTTCCTAAATTTCTACCTAGTTGTACTTATGTAAAAGGATAGTAATGAGCAACTGAAAAATTTCCCTCAGGTATATTCTTTAACACAGTACTGATAATAATACAGAGTTGCCAATGATCAATATAAAATTTAACTTACTAAAATATAATCACTGAATTCGGTACATAGTTCCAATAAATATCGACTACTTTTCATTAGGTCTGGATTGGTAACCATACAATTTTTTAAACAAAGGTTTAAAAATTTTTGTTGTTCATCTAATAACTCGTCAACATTTTTCACCTAGATAAACAACACTATTAATATATAGTAAACAGTTTTATGAAACATAAGTACTTTATATTGAATAGCAGATGTAAAAGCTTGCCACTGTGTTTCAATTACTTCTTCAAACATATAATATTCAAGGTTTTGAACAAATAACAACATGTTTTGCCTCAAGTTAAAAGCTTTCTTGTAGGTTGTTGCTGAAGTACTGGGTATCTTTTTTAAATGTTTGTCACATAACCATACTCTATATTGTCGAAAAAATATTAATTAACAAAGATTTGGCTTTATTGATGCAAAACCCAGACTTGTCACCCCAGCACATGCAAGAATGAAAAAATAAATTATAATACAAATTAAGATAAAAGACCACAGATGTGAAGCTTCTGATATTATACAGGTATATAATTATATAAATTAAAAATTCTGAAGCATACGTTTAATTAATTCTTCAGAAATGACTGCAGGGAAGTATTCCATAAGTTTATCAAGCACAATATAATTAAAACAGTTTTATTATTTATTATTACTATTGGTTTAAAAAAAAATTTTTGTTTTTTATAAAATAACTTAAAATACATGTTAACTGCTTAAGAAAATTATGACAATTTTACATATTTAACCATTTTTCTTAGCAGTTTACTCAATGTGCAAAGTACCCTCCACGTGTTAAAATTTTTTTGACTTTTTTAAACAAATATTTACTATACACAATACGTACATTCAAATTCTTATCGATTTCCTTTAAACATTAAATTAAAAACTGAAAAAATAAGTTATGACACTTGTTATTAAATATGCAATAAATAATTGCATTAAAATTATTCGTTTTGAATAAACATTACAAAACATATTAGGATAATGAATTTTCATCATTCATTCAGCATCAAAAATAAATTTTACCAGAAATTGACTATGCAAACATTAAAAACTTCAATTTTTTCTTAGTCAATTTATAAACCTATAATATGACATCAATATTCTGTATTAAATATTAATAATTCACTTACTTAAGTAGTTGCCGTTCAACATTTTTGCATAACAATAACAATCTAAATAATATTTGATAATTTGATATAACTGTTTCATTAAATATTAGAGAAACTGGCCATTGTGTTGTTAATCCCAAACAGAATGATTGTATTCCCAATAAATTTGAAGATGGTTGAAAATTTGTATAATCTATTCAAAATATAAATACAAATAAATGTATATTACATTTTGTAATTATTTATTGAATATAATATGAAAGTATTCAGCTAGTTTGTTTCCAATAATAAATTATTTTCTAGAATTTTAGCTACAAATTATTTTGGATTTATTTTTGAAAATTACATTTTAATAAACAATATTTATTTTAACTTAAACTAAATAAAAGATAAATATCCTATATTGTATGCATAATTTTTATAAAAATTAAATATAATTAATTTTCATTCAAGATTAGGTTAAGTTAGGTTTAAAAAATTAGAAATTTATAATGAAATTAGATATTTTACATTTTTTAACTATTTAGAACCTACCTTAATGATTACACATATTAATATATAAACAAATATTTTTTATTTTACCTTTTTCTTTTTCAGTTTGAATAGCAAGTATTTTAAATATTTGAAAACTCAATGGATCTTTTTTTAATTCCATTTTAATGTCATCTTTGTATTGATCTACACACCCAACATTTACTCGTAAACAAATATCTAACAATGATTCCAATCGATTGTAAACAATATCATCTGTTGGTTTTTTCAATTCTTCATCACATACATCTAACAGATGTACTACAAAATCTCCTTGTTCTAGTAGAAAGTAGCGTTTAATTGATCTGAAATAATAATTATTGTTTTTTTTTCAGTGATACAGTATTAATTTTAAAATTATTGTTTACTTTAATCTGTTCATAAGGTCATAATCAATTAGTAGTACATTTAATAGACTACTACTTGCAAACATATAAGCATTATTTATAGTTTTGAGATAATTTGTTGAATCGGAACACCACATGGAATATACTAGTTTTTCATTATTGGTTGATGTATAAATCAAATTTGATTTATTTGGAATGTCTATGATAAAAAAAAAAAAATTAAAATTAATTTGTCATGTTAGTAAAATAATTAACCTATCAGTAGACTTATAAGCTTATAAGCATTTATTCGTAATATGATTAAATGTGTATCAATGTAGCCCTCATTTTTCCAATATTTACTATTAAAATTATAAATCAACCTCTAAGAATTTTGCTATAAATAATTTATTAGTAATAAATGTTAGGTACATTACTTAGTCAAAACTTATTGTAAATCAAAAATAAAATATTAATCTTTAATATGAAAATTAAAAAATATATATGTTACAATTAGATTAAGTTATAGTATGAACATACCGCTTACTTTATCAAAACTGATAAATTCAATTTATTGTCATTTAAACACAAAACTATAGATTGGGTTATTTAATTTATAGAAGAATTTTCAAATAAGATTACACAAGAAATAAGAGTTCACAAAAATTAAAAATTTAAA